GTATTTTTGCCTGGAATCCTTGGTTTTCCACAGACAAATACCTCAATTGATTGTGATTCTCTGTTACCAAACTATGAAGCTGAACCACAGACATCTGCACCACCATATATTATTGCTGTATCTTTTGATAACTTTGAGCCAGGAAATGAAGTCCAAGGTAAAGAATCTGAATGACATAAAATCTTTAACTGTGTCTTCCAAAATTACCAATCTTCATAAAAATCCCCCCATTTCCCTCTCAGTCTAGATAATTTATTTTTAAACTTCAATCTTGTTCATGTATACCTGAGATATTATTATTTTTTATGTTTTTTATCTGTATGTACATACTTGTATTACTGAAAATGCATTCTTTCTTTCTTTTTTTCTTTATGTAATAAATATATATTAACTTTATGCTGTAATTTTTGTGACAATTAAAATGGAGTGGGACAGCTCAATTAGTCCAGGCCAAACTGGACTAATAATTAGTTGCTCTTTAACTTCGTATTTGATTATTTGCTGTTGAATCAAGCCTCTGCAGTACAAAGGGATCCTACTCATTAGTTATTCACATGCTGTCATCCTACAGGAAAGGAAGAATTCAGGGCGCAGTATGAGACTATTTAAGAGTGATACATTTTGAGTCACCCTTCTAAGAGCTGCATCCCAGATTTTATCACATTGCAGGAGGAGGAGCACTTGTGGTTTAAGCTCCCTTTTTATTTTCCTAATCCCAAATTGCTCTCTGGATGGAGCACCTTAACAGCCTTGTTTCTTCACACTGTGATGCCATCTCATGGTGCTGTCACACTTCAAGTAACTTGTGAATGCTTCTTTTTCTAGTCATTCATACTAGAAGAAGCATGGAAGTGGAAGAGAGTTGTGACCTGTCACATGTCTGTTGGATCTCAGTAGCTAAAAAAAAGCATTATTGACAAGTAGTTACTCTCTAGCTGGGATTCTGTTTTACTTTGACCTAGTAGCATGGATGTACTTCCATGGAGAATGATGTATAGGGAGAAGAATGGAGAAGCCTTAGATCCCTGTTGTGGCTGCCCTTCTTGGGAAAGCATGTGAAGGGCATCCTTTTAGGATGGGAGGGCTCTTTCAATACTCTTCAAATATTTAAAATACTATTGACAGAAAATTGGGGGATGTATTTAAGTATATTCAGATTGTTCAGTAAGTTAAATGAGATATATCATGACAAAAATATTGAATCCCAGATGCTACTAACCTTGCCTTTTTTTTGTCCCTTTTTTTCCCTAATGATGGATTTTTTAGCAGTCCTTTTTTCATGCTCCCCACTGTAAGCACCTAGTACATGGTCTCAGGGGGCCACATTAGGACCCCTTGCTTGAGTCTGCTGCAGTTTCACTGTGACATGCCACGTGTTACTCCTACAGATCATCCCTGCTGCATTTAGCCCTGCATTCAAGGGCTCCATGTCATTGCTTCTGGGACACCTGGGGAAATTAGTGAATTAGGACTGAAAGTTGATGAAAAATTGGAAGGCTAATTATGCAGATGTTTGGAAATACTGAATTATTGAAGTATGATTGATTGGTCTTTGCCTTGATTTCTGTGTCATTCCCACTTAATCTGTCCTTGTTTTTAATAACAATGGATATCTTTGTTCATAAACCATTATTCTGATTCCATTCTCTACTAATGGAATTAGCAGAGAAAAGTTATAATAGATCATAGCAAATTTGGTTATGTCTTTTGAAATCTAATTTCAGTATTGATACACACAAAGCACAAAACTGCTCTCTACCATAATTTTCTGAGCTCCTTCAGTAACAAAATTTGAGTAATATTGATTAGCTCATATAATTATTAACTTTTCATATTTAATGTAGAACATGGAAGCCAAACTGTTTTCTATCTTTCCAGTTCTAATACATTAAATAAATGTTTCTGCATTTCAACCTTATGCAAAGGCTAATCTTTTCTTTTAAAACAGGTAGAAAGAAATGCAATTCTCTTTCTCCTGTAGCATTTTTGACTTTGTACGCCTGATTAGACAGAAAATAAATAACCTTTTTGTTAACAGGGCCACTTCACATTTAGTAGAGCAGAATTCCTTTTGAAACTGTCAGTAAATCATAAATTTCATGTTACTTTACAGAGAAGCACCTTTCCACATTTTTTCCTTCACCTTTATTGTCATTCCCCTTATAATAAAGAAAGGTATTTTAAATGTTTTTTTCTTAGAATTGTACAGGGCTTAAAGGAATATCTGCACTGTGCAGAAATCTTCACAATGCAATCTTGTGCCTTGGCATGAAGCAAATTGCATGGTAAACATTTAGGCAGTTTTAGTGGTATATGAAATTTATATTTCTCAAAATGCTTCTTTTCACAGTAACTCTAGAAGCACTTGGAGATGCTGGGTTTAAAGGATTTAATCTACAAGCTCGAGAAATCGATGGAGATGTTCCTGTTGGTACTTTTAAAATTACAGATCCAAACACAAAAGGCTTGGAATGTCATAACATGACGGTATGTGTGTAGTCTTTGGAATATTTACTGAAGCTTGGGTTTCTTTTAAGCAATAGAAGTAGGGATCATTTTTATACAGCAAAGCTATTTTATCAGTAGAGTTTAAAAGATTAGGTTTTCTCAAGAACTTCATCTACCCTTTATATGTGATATGAACCTAATGTAGAAATTCCCTGGCTCTTTGTAGCAGGACACCACTGTTACCTGTTGTAGTAGAGACAGTTTCTGTAAAAGTATAGCTAAAAGTCACTCTTACATCTTATATAATTATTTGTATTTCTTTTTAATTGCAGAATTCAGCAGTAATTAATGCCAATTCAGATGTGAAACAGAAGGTTACAACAACATGGATTGCTCCACAGAATGTTAGAGAGCTTCAATTTATGTAAATATTTGTTTTTTGTTTTTTTTGCCTTGAAATTTTCTTTCTGTATTGAGATAGACCTGTGTTGCTGTTTGAGATATTCTTGTTCAACATAGGTTTTTTTCATAGTTTGCTATAACTTCACACTATGTTCATTAAGTTATTTCCATTTCAAGATATATTTGTAAAAGTTAATGTCCTAAAGACCTTAATATATGTAAATAATTCCATTAAGCATAATATTATTAATGAATCTTTGAGTAGCCATTTTTTACACTTTGAATTCTTTAATTACAACAGCAACAAAATATGAATGTAACTCCTTCCCTGAAAAAATGAAATTCAGACCTATCCAGTTATACCTTTCTTCATTTTTAATAGTGACAGAATAGTAATTCTTCTAATATAAATTTTAAAATTAGTGTATGACCTATTAAGTGAGTTCTAAAAACAGGGGAAGACATATTTAGCCTACCTTTAATGCTACATTTCTTGCAGATGTGAACTTTGTAAAAACACCACCTACTCTAACAATTGCATGCTTGAAGTATATTGGAAAAAGCCTAAATATTTGATAGTTTGCATTGTTTGAAGTGAAGATTTATGATAGGGCCATCTTTGCCTTGCTTCATTAAATCTTGAGGAATACCAAGAACAGGCAAAAGAATACCAAACTGCAATTGCTTCCACTCATTATTGCCATAAAAATCAGTTCATCATCATAGATGCAGATTGTCAGAATATGTGGGACAATTCTTCTGGACATTTAAGCCAATGCTCCTCACTGGTGTCAGTGCTTCTTCAAACATTGTCTTTCCCTCTTCTGCTTGTTCTCAGCATCTGTTTTAGTTATCTTCAAATTTATGCTGGGTGATAATACAAGCCACTACAAGGAAAAGTATTCTGTGGAACTTGCACTTAAAAACAGAACATAGTGGATATTCTTGGCTGGGGGCAAAGGGGGACAAGAGTTTATTAGTATTTTATATTGAAATACGCTGATAAAAATAAATTATTTTGTTTTCTCTCTAGTGCAACTGTTGTTCAAAATCTAGAGAACTTTTGGGTTGGAATTCAAAGCAAAAGTCTCACACCTACACATTCTGAGTCAGTTAATGTGACAGGAAAAAGTAAAAGGAAGGTATGTATATTTTAGTGTATTTGAATGATAGAAATTAATACAGTAATTAAAGTATCTTTGTCTTGATACAAGATATACATTTGTTGTCATTTATTCATTAACTAAGGCAAAATCATTAGATGTTTTCAATAATTTCAATTTAACTGCCTAATCCTTTTATAAAAATGATGAAAAAATGAAGTTAATACTCTTTTTCTCCTACAGAAATGAGGAAAGTAATAATGTATTTATCAAAACAATCCATATCTTAAAGCAAAAAAAAAATAAAAGAAAATTTGTAATAGAAATGTACTGTACTTCTTACGTACAGTGCTGTTCTTAACTGCTGCCCCAGCCCCTGGGAATTGTAACCCCAGCATATTCTTGAAAGGAGTTGGTAACATGTTTTTTGCCAATAATTATGCTTCTATGAAACACATTAAACTTTGGCAGCTCAAGTAAAGGAAGTCTCCTCAAATCTACTGTGTTGGACTGCAGCAGCAGTGATTTATGTGAATTTGTAATGTAACCAAGAATGAACACCTGTCTTAAATCTCTCACTTCAGCAAGTGTATTTTCTGTTTCCTATAATAAGCTACTTTTTTTTATTCTGTGAATAATTTGGTAATGTTTCATCTTCTGTTTTTTCCCCCACAGCTTATGATAGAATTAGAATGTAGCAAGGTAAGAGCAATTTTTCTTCAATTTCCCAACTTCCAGTTACCTCAGTTTTAGAATTCTTCTCCTACTGGTCCAGTTGTTTCATGCTTGTAGCATGAAGATTCTATTATACCATTAAAATTACTTTCCTATCAGGATGTCATTTATGCTTTATTTTTTTTTATTCAGTTCTGAATTTTTTTTGAATTAGTTAACATCAGTTTGCAGATGAGATTGTTAAAATGTGTAATATGTTAGCAATTAAACATTTGATTTCTTCACTCAGACCATCCATGTGAATTCAGTTGATTTCCTGTTTAAAGTAGTGCCAGTCAATAAACAGTAACTGGAACCTGTATTCTCTTGCAGCGTGGAGGGACTTACTCAACAGGCCGATGTATCATGGTAAATATTCCTTCTCCAAAGACATTGACATTCTGCTAACTGCCCAGGATCTCAAGGCCTAGTCAAAAGTTGCTTCTAGATATGTCTTTATCCCCCCTGTAACTCAATTTAATTTTCTTTTTGTTAGTTTATCTTTGTTGATTAAAAATCCAAAACTGTCTAAAGGGTTGTGAGCCTTGTTACCATTTCCTTCTGCAGATTCTCTCTTCTAATCTGTAGTAGCTCTATAATAGAAGTTTTCTTTTTTTCTTTTAACTCTTTATTCTTAATGTTTTCTTACTTTTCAGGATCACTTATTTACTTGCCTTCTGCAAATCATGATCTAGATAAAAAATATAGCTATTTGATTTTTTTCCTTTGAAAACTTTCACTGGCAGTGCAGGGAAGAAGCCTCTTTTCCTTCTTTGCTTTTTAACAGTAAATATGCTAATGATTACCTAGCCATATTAGTAAAAAGCTTTCATCTGCTTTTAATGATTGTGGTGGTGTAGATCTCCTCCTCAATGATGGACATCAAGTATGGGAGATGAAATACAAAAGGATGCAAGCAGCAGAATTATGTTATTTATAACAGCTGGATTGCCACGGTTTTGAATATTTGTCTTGAAAGATCTCTGAAATAATTTTAATAGTATCAGTTGGTGGAATGAATTAATAGAAAACTACTTTGTGAGTTCTTCCTTTTCCCACCAAGTAGAACTTTCTTTCCTAAAAATCACTTATTTAAAATAAATTTTCAGCCAGATAATAAATACCAGTCTGTTTTTTTTTCAGGTTGGACCTTCTGGTTCCTCTCAGAACAGCTATTCAGGCAGTCAGGTATGAGTCCTAAATTCCAGCATTTGTATGTTTTCCTTCAGTAACCTTGAATGACTAAAATTCTGTAATGTGAGGTGATTTAGTACTGTACTGATATATCTTCTCTGCTGATTAACCCAGAATGGCAGAGGTGTGTATCCAGCAAATAATGTGTTTGTACCTGGGCTGGGTTCAACTACCTCCACTCCTCTGAACTCAACAGCTTGCTCCAGTTTAATGTCTGTATTGCTTTTAACACTGGACTATATTTGCAGTTGAAAATTTGGGGCCATCACTGCCTAGTTAGCCTTTTAAAATTTCTGGGGTATACATGTCTGCATTGCCACTACTTTCACTTCATTAATCACAACAAGGTATATTTGGTTTTTAGTTTATTATCTCCACTATCATATATATGCCTATTTTCCCTTTAAGTCTTAGATACTTTCTGGTATGTCTCCAGTTTCTTGAACTGATGTTATCAAGGACATACTTCTTACTACTTACTAGTGGTTATATGTATTAGTGAATTATCTGGTAATATTCCATTTCTTCAATCTTTATTGCTTGTTATGAATACCAGATACAGAGAAATACAAATTATTTTGATGCATATGCTAAAACCTGGTTTCCATATTTTTTTAATATATAATACATATTCTTTTCTAAGAGTTGAGCTTCTCATCTTGTCATATAAGTACTTGAAGTTACTCATTTTTTTATAAAATATAAGCCATTCAGTAACATTCTGAAAGATTTCATGACCAGTGACAAAGCTGATGAAATTTATAAGAAATACAGATGATGTCTCACAATAAATTACAATCAATACAGGCAGTGCCAGTGAACTGGTTACCTCTTTACTTGCTTATCCCTTGCTTGTATATACACATTATCAGCTGCACAGCTTTTCATGCCATAAATAGTATGGCATTGGGTTTTTTTCTCTCTTGCCCATTTGAGTTTTTTATATGGAAATATTTAACTTCTGTTTTTATTTCAGGGTGGAGTAGTCTACACAATAAGCAAGAGTGGATGTACACCTGTAAGCACTATTTTTACATTCTCTTTTTTGTCCCCAGCATAACTATATTTATGGTAACTTTCAATGGCATTATTTGATAAATGTTTATGTGGGAGTCTCTATTATAAATATAAAATACTGATGAGAAATAACTGGTTTATTTTTTGTCTTAGGGAGGTGCTGCTGGTGCATATAGCCAACAAGCCTGCAGAGATGTAAGCTGGTTATATATGTTTTTACTGATTGTCTCCTACTATGCTTATTAACTCATCTCCTTATTGAAAATTGCATTTGATCCTGTTCTGTAGAGCTGTTGAAGTCTTCCTAAATATATTCAGGAAAATACTGTTAGCTTGAGATATTGTTCTGAAATTAAATCCCAAAATTTAAAGGTGTTACACTGCCAGTTAAAATCCTGATAATTTATGCTTTGAGGTGTGTATGTACACACCTCTAATAGGTGATACATAATATCACCTATTAGAAACTCTTAATTTTTTCCCTACTAGAATGTCAGAATTCTTACTGCATAATGCTTTTTATCAGCTAAAATTATTGTCTTTGGATATTGCATATTTTGGAATATTATTAGGGGTTCTTTACAATCTTTGCATATTAATTTTTTAATTAGTAGAGAAATTTTTATTGCCTATCTCATTTATTTATTTTTTCACATGAAAACAAATTAATAATTAGCAAATTATTTTATAAATAAATACCTGATTTTTCTTTTTGTTTCAGAGTGCATCCTTATCTGGCAGTGGTCTTACTTATGGCCAGGTAACTGTGTTCTCCAACATGCTTTTAGCTTCATAAGTTATTCAAAAGCTAAACAGTTATGCCCAAATTTACCAAACAATAATTAAATTCGTGGAAGAGGATAAAGGAAAACTGTCTTCAAATTATTTAGTAATGATCATACCTGGAAATAACTTCATGAAGTGAATTATGTATTTGGTGTTTGTTGCTGTATCCCTACTTCTATTTTCCAACAAAAATTAATTACATTTATTCTATAAATGGACAACAGTTCCTTTTACTATGTTTTTTCCAAAAGTCAGTGCTTTATTTGATGGTTACTAAGAATTAAAAGTTTGGGGTTTGTTTTTTGGCTTTTGCTTATATAATTTTATGCTTCATTTAAATAATTTTTCTTGTTATAACATATCCCAATTTTTCTAGATTCTGCTGTTGTTTTTTAAATTGAGCATATGGGTTCTGGAATTTGGTTTTTTAGGATGAAGGTAGAAGAGCCTAATTTTTTTTCCTACTGATAAATATTTTTCCTACAAACAAACTTCCAATTTGATGAAACATTTGCAGCTTTTATACAGGACTCTGTAAAACTAGCAAAATAATTGGGCTTTTAAAAAAAATTAAACCAGTTGATTTATTGCAGTTGTTTATTTATTAACTGCCAATACATTAATTTTCTTCAGACTTTTACTTTCTTTGGTGCTTCATGGGTACCATGTTAATATAATACTCTTGTGGAGAATAGTGCTGTAGTTAATTTGCCATACATTTACCTAAGCTACAAATTAATTCTGTATTCTTTACAGTCTGTCCCTTCAAGCAGTTCAGATTCCAGTAAGAAGGTAAGCTCTCCTGTTCAAAGGGATAAAATTCTTACATTTATAACTTGGCATGACTCCTGTTATTTCAGCCAAGACTTTTCAAGGTTTTAACTCAGATTGATTTATATTATTTAATTTGGTTTGGTTCTTAGAGGCTGGGAGAGCTTCTAAGGAGAGAACAGTAACACAGCAGAAGATACAATTACAGCATTTGGCATATTTCGGTTTTCTTTTGAATTAACTCAATATCAAGCCTTTTTTATTTCTTAGCATAATACTGAATAAAGACAAAATAAATTGGTGTTCTAGTTTGGGGTGGAAAGTTGAGGATCAAAAAAGGGCACACAGTACAAACCAGTAGATATGGTACAATACATGAAATCCTGCTTTTGCCTCTACAGCTGAGTCATATGGTTTGGGGCAAATCTTTCATCTACTTTACTCCTGTGTATACTATGCATAAATATATATAATTCATTGCTTGGTAATGTGCATCAATTTTTTTTTATAAAAATAACCTTTTATAAAAGGGATCTTCCATACCATTATTACCAGAGTTTTAAATTTACACATTTTTGTATTCTTCATTTTTTTTGTGACATATTTAGCAATATTTAAATAATCTTTATGGTGAGTAAACAGCTTCCTCTGGTTTCTCCATAGGTAGTGGTCGTTGCCAACAGCAACCCTTTTCCACCTGTGGTAAGCTGTTTTTCTCTACAATACACATTTTCTCTACAAATAACTTTGACCCAAAAAGCTTTCAAGTATCATCGTTTTTAATTTTCAGAAATATTCCTGGAGACAATTTTTTGGCAGGCAGGATTTACCCTAAGTGTATATTTACCTTCAGGGATGGTGTGTTTTAATAAGATAGGTGAAATCCTTGTAGTTCTGTGATTGCTGTTAATACTTGCAGAGACAATGGATTAGCTGCAGGCACCAGGTCTCTCCATGTACACAGTCTTTGTGTTCCTGAATAGTGTTAATTTTCTCTTTCTGTTGCAATTTTCTTCTGTAAGTTTACTTCCATTCTCCTTTCTAAATTATTACATTTCCACTCTGGATCTCTCTGGAACTAAAACAAAGTTTAGCCTTCAGGTGCTTGAAGTGAGCTTTTATAATGTAATATTTTATATATGTTTAATTTCTAATAGAATATGTTGTTCTAAGTTGAATAAAGGTTAAGTTGAATAAATGCATTTATTCTATGCCATTCTTTTTATATGATTCTTTCACATTCCACTATGTACTGCATCTGAAATATAAGGGCCCTTTTTCCCTTTCTATGCTGCAAAATTCTGTTTGGGCAAGTCCTTGTGCAAAATAATGAAAGATTTTTCTGTTTCTTTGCAGCGTCACACCTTCCCCCAGGTAAGAATACTTTTTATTTTGATTCCTATAATACCATTATAGTTTTTATGGGATCAAACCAATTGTCTCAGGATCGTGTGTGCTACCCTTTTACGCTTGTCCCTCATACCTCAGAATTCAGCAAAAAAATGCCTGGATGAGGAAGCGGATTTTGTATGTGTTGATGTATGTGCAGTGCAGGTGACAGTGAGACAGGTTAGAGGAGTGATGATGTCCCAGCTTCCCTCCCTGTATGTGGAAAACCCAAGCTGACTGCTAGTGCAGAAAGGTGGTGCACATAACCTGTGCTCTCCACAGAAGGTGTAAGAGTAGAAAATTACTTAGTAGGGTCAGCCTGCCTCCCCAAACCTTCAGAACAGAGAATAAACTAGCTTAATGCTGGGTGTTAAGAACTGGTACATAGCACATCCCACATATGATCTTTCCCTTTATTCTCACAAATGAAATAGTTCAACCTAGTATTTTCTGTTTAAGTGCATTGCATTAAACAAGTAAATTAAATTTGCTATATTATGTTTCTTTGTTTCTGGATTTTTTTTCAGAGTTTGGGAAGCTCTGCTACAAGGATCATAGTACAGGTAGACATTTCTTCTCCATTATACTTGAGTTTTAAATGAAGATTTGTCTTAGTAGACTAAGCAATAATTCCTCTCATAGAGAATAAGTAAGTGTGGATAACTCAGAGGTATCTTAGATGTCCACAAACTACAGTGGTGGAGTAGGGCATTTCTGTGACACAGCAAAGGGGATATCTTAGCTGGTTGCTGAATAGAGACTGTTGGAACTATTTTCTACATGTAAAAAATTTTAAAACCTCTGTAGGTAAATTCCATTGTGCTCTCAAAATTGGCAAAATTTGACCATCTCAGTCTGCTCAGGAAGGAGGATGGAATTCTAGAACTAAAGCTTGAATGTTACTCAGTACAAAATCAAATATAGATTGCAAACTGCACAGTTCCATTTTAATTTAAACAGTCAATTTTTTTAATGGAAACACCCAGTTCAGAATTACATTTTTAAAATCCTGCTGTTAATGCCTAGGTGAACTGTTGTATTTGTAATGTTGCTTCTTGATAACCAGGCACTTAGAAAATTTATTGCAATCTAGTCTCATAAAGAGCATGCTTATATAATTCAGGCATATTTATCTGGGTTCTTTGTCATTTTAGCATCCATCCCACTGTTAATGGCTAGCCAGTCCATTAGATGCCAGTCCATCAGACTATGACAACAAATTCTCACTCTCATTGAAAGATCAGCAGCAAGTTACACCAGCTGAAATTTGTCTTTCCAAAACCATTGCTTTCAAAATGTATAGCATTATTTTCTTCCATGACTAGTGATGAATTCTGGCAAACAAAATAATAAGATTTCCTTGTTATTTAAATTCTGATTTTAAATGTACTGTGTTTTGATTACACAAGCTAACTATTTTCAACATGTAAATATAAAAAATATTTTTGTCATCTCATAATCCACATATTTTCTTGGAATCAAAATATTTTTTGTAGTGGCTTTCCCTTATGTTAAATTTTAACTGGATTTTTCAATTTTTGCTTTGGCAAAGCCTTTGTCAAAAGCTTATTAAAGAGAAAAATCATTCATAATGTGAATACAAATAGATATGGGTTTAAAGCTATTTGCAGGGTACATTTGAAAGGCAGAATTATTTTAACTCACTTCAAATACCACAATATGACACAAATCTGTATTACACAATTAATTTTAATTAATAAAATTATATGAAATATATAAATACTTGTAATACTTAATTTGTATAGGATTTTTATATACACTTTGTAGCACATGAGGATGGCATAAAGTAAGAAAAGGTATAATGAACTCTTCGTAGCTTTCAAATTGTCTAGTAGATAGAAGGACAGAATTGTTTCTTGAAATGGCTTAGTGTATAAGCAATTCCTCTTAAAAATAAATAACCTATTTTTTTGTTCCTGTGTAGAGTGGACAAAAACAGCAAACTAGCAGCAGTACTTATATTCAGGTAAGTAAACTGTAGAAGTGTTATAAATATTCCTATAGACTTCCCTAAAACAGGGCCAGCACAATTTACAAATAAATTACTTTCTGCATTTAAAAATGGATTTCACAGGTGTAGGTATTTCTATTTCCCAGACTTTTGTTCATGATAATACCATCTGATATTGGTGTTGAAATTATTTTGTTTGCGATATTCACAAATGCATTTCCATGTGTGATGGGTTTACATGAAATGAGTGTATTGTACTTGGAGCATAAGGGTCAAGGCCCTGAGAGGAAGAGATTCTAGGCTCCTTACCACACCACCAACCCCATACTGATAGATTCAGGGCCCATGCATATTAGACCTCAAATTCCAAAAGTTGTAAAGGGTAGTTGTTGAGCCATATCAAGAATGATGAAAAATCATGATCGTAGAACTATGTGCAATGTCTTCCAGTATTGCCTAAAGCCATAAAGATAAAGCTGCTTGTGTGAAAAAAAAGAAAAAAAAAGTGAGGGAATTTTAGAAAATACTCACACAGTAGCATCATAAATTATTGCAAACTAAAACTTGAGAATATTCATAGTATGGACTCAAGTATGAGGACCCTTTAGGTCTTCCTTCTCTTGGGGGCTGTGGGTAGGAGGGATGCAGAAGTCTGTCAATATTCTCTGTAACACTACATGCAACCAGAAGACTCTTTCAAAAGGGTAGGTATGACTTTTAGGGATTAGGGCCAGAGGGAGGCTACTACTCAACATCACGAGTATTCAGTATGTACAAGGTTGGCAGTCATGGCTTCTGATGAGAATAGGACAATCTATTGCAGGGCTGTGAGCATACTGCTCTGTCTCCTTAGTGCTTTTTGAAAAATCCCCACACAACTGTATTTCTGTAAACATCATGGTCTTTAAAAAAGGCTCCTTGTCAAGGTGGTAATTATCTTCTCTTTATTTAAAGGGTTCCCAAGGCAGCCAGTCCTATGGTCAGGTGAGATGTTTTGCTGAAATGTTTTGAGCTTTTCTATAAGAGCCTCTGTTGTGTTTTTACCTTCTTGATGTTTTGAGTGGTCCATGAGTTTGGTTTCTACCACTGAAATGCAATGAATGAAAAAGAACATAGTACAGAACAAGTTTAAGAGGAAATGGACTTTTCTGTTGCTGCTGTACTAAGGAAATATAGCTTTGTTTACAAATGACTTCTTACCTTCCTTACAGGGCTTCAGACCTCAAGGTGGCAGTTCCTATGGCCAGGTAAGCATCAGTCAGTCACCAGTCAGAATAGAGCATTTCAGAAATGGCACTATAAAGGCACTTAGCA